ATTTGCCTTATTGATTTAAAAAGCACCTGCAATACGTTTGAAAAAGTACTTTCCTTGGTTAAATTCAAAAGGGTGAGTTTTTGCAAGTTCAAATGTTGTTCTTCATGCCTTTAATGGTCTTTTTTTTTATCCCAGTGGCATCAAAAATAGTATCCAAGTGCCAAATATTTTCCTTGAAATTGATTGACCTAATTATTTTGATATGGCGACAAACCTAATGCTTACTAGCCCTGACAAACCTGGATGCTGACAATTACATAACTGCACTAGACCATAAACATGACATAATGTTTTGCTTGTATCATTCGATGCCACACCAAAGATATCTTGCAATAAAAACAGAATCTCTGGCTTTAATTTATGAATACGCAATAAATCATAAAATCTGACCTTGGATTCCAGCTAGTGTGCTGAAGAATTATCTCGGAAGGCAATCCCTATCACATTGGAGGTTATACATCACAGCACTCCCTATTGTAAACAAAGCACCAAATTACATTTAGCTGTAACTGAGTAAAAGGTTTACCTAGAGTCTGGTCATGAACATAGAGCTCCCTGATGCCTAGCTCAGTCAAAGATTTGTCCAGCGGTAACTCGTGGCGACTGATGGCGTCTTTCAGGAGAAGGACATGTGCAGCATCAAAATCACACTTGTCACATATGGCTGGAATCAAAGCCTGGAGCGGGACCAGTGGGTTGACCCGTACCACAGCTTTCTGGTTGCCGTGGTAGTTCACCATCAAACGCACCGTTTTCTGAGACACATAGAAGACAATGACAGAATCAATTAGTTTGTAAATTCTGATGTACTGATCAGATAAAAGCCTTATTAAGCAAAAAATGTGTAAGTCAATGGGCAAAGTTAATCACACAGCTGAGCTGCAGGAATTTTTTGAAACAATGAGAGTGGAGATGAATACACAAAAACAGTTGGTTGCACTTCTTTGACAAGAAAATGAGCCAGTTTTTAATGGAGGAATTTCAGCAACACAACAGAGAAACCTTATAGATGTAAAAACCTAAAGGATCCAGCATGTAGTCTACTGGAGCAGTAACTTGCAATGTAGCTGCAAAGTTCGATGATGGTATCCTCTAACATTAAACCTGGCACCCCATCAAGCTGCATCATTGTTTTTTATCTGTTAAAGCAGCATCACCTAAGGCTGAACGATTTTGCCAAAAATTAAAATTGCGAATTTATTTTGATTTTCCTTTGCACTTTTAGATGCCCCTCCGCCAGGCTTTTGGTTTTTAACAGCTTGCTTTAACAGAGTCCATTGGGACAGGACTTTACTGAAACTATTGTTTGAAAAAGTGTTTACTTCTGCTTGCATGCATGGATCTGTGTGCTAGCTGCAAGTTTCTCTACCTTCATGTTTGGTGACAAACCTAATTCAAGGGTTTAATCACCACCTAAATGGCTGAAGGGAGAAATCTAGTGTCTTACTCTTGTTCAATATAGTGTGATTAAAGATCAGTGCCTCTGCAATTTGAAAATTGCGTTTTGTAAAATTGCAATTATATCACAGATGCAATTAATTGCCCATTCCTAGCTTCATCGCATCTTTCTTCCTTCAATTATCTGTACATCACAAACACAAAGTCTCTTCATTACTGACTCACTAACTCTGGCACAGTGTTTAACAAAAAGGAAGGTGATGGAAAAAAAACTTCTTTTTCTATTAAGATCTGCATACATAGCGCTGAGTACCTTCCATACAAACACATCAAAATCAAATATTTTTGACTAAGGTTATTTCACCTAAGTAGACAATCATCACTGCATACAGCATATACACAGGTTAATTTTACTATTATGAGGAATGACTGGTGAAGTAAAAAATAAATGTTTTTTGTCCTCTTCATGCGACCTTTAATGAAGCGGGTTGAAAACTACACTTCTTGCAGAAAAATAGCTTTTCCTAGTCTGCGGGGGGCCAGTTTCTATCAGCTGGCAATGCTCAATGATGCTTGTATGGAGCAAAGACTGGATCCTGTAGTCTAGTGCAAAAGACAAGATACTGTAGCTGAGATTGTAGAAGTTTCCCTGGTTCCCATTGAAAGGTATTACAATACACCACAAATAGCATGTGTCCACCCTGATCCCTGTCCAACTGGATCACGCAGCAGTGGTTGAAGGGAGCCCAATTGGATGAATCATGCTTTTTTTTTTTACATTTAGACAGTCAGGTGCATGTTTCTCATCTGACGAAGTGGCAGAAGCAATGTGAAATTTTGGGTATTACTCTGACAGATGCCATGTTTGCTGCAGAACATGTGCTGTAGCCTCTTTCAACAGGATAATTAACCCTGACAAGGAGCAAACTTTGTTCAAGAATAATCAGAGAGGTATGATGGGCTTTCGTCTCCAAATTACTCAGAACTTAATCGTTTTGAACAAATGTGGGAAATGAGAAGATCAAGCATATTCAAATAGACAGCACAGCTTCCAGGTAGGGCTGGGAGATATTAAAATAAAATATTTTCAGCATAATGGGTGTTTTATAGCAATAAGGATAAAAATTATAATAAAAAAAATAAAATAACTGTAAAGTAGTCTGTCTTATGTAACTGCATGGCTGCGACTGCTTACCAATGCAATCAAAGCCCCACAATCACAAATAACATACACAATTAAATTCAGCTTTTCCGGACACCAGTTATAAAAGGCAGTGTAATTAATATAATTTAATATCTCAAAGTAACTGCATTTAATCATATTATCATTTTTTTTAATGCTCCAAGGGACAAAAATGGTAAAACATAAAAATTATGGCTATTCACTCGGTTTCTGGAGATTTTAATGATAACTGATTCTAATTTATCGTTTAGACAATAAATCAAAATTCTTATCAAACAAAAAATCATCACGATATTGATAAACGAAACGATTAATGCCCACCCCTACTTCAAAGACTTTTAGGAATTGCGTCAAAAATAATTGTCCCAGATGATGCAGTTCAACCAGTAATGTCATGGCTGATTGGTCTATCTCAGCCGAGGGGTGGGTGGGTCTGATTGTCAGTGATGAACAGGTCCAATGGGTGAAGAGATAAAACAAAAAATGACTGACAGCAGTTGCTGCATGAGTACTGGCCTCTGGTCTGAGGCCAGGTGGGGTCAAAGGCAGACAGAGCAGCCAGTGAGCCCTGAGAACAGCAGAGAAATAATGCATGGTAACTAAAGGTAAGGGAGACATTAAATATTCAAGCTGCTGAGGAGAGTTAAGGAGAGGAAGAGAAAAAGGCACAAGGAATTAAACAACTAAGGAGCACAACAAAACATTAAAAATAAAAAAAGCCAAGATGAAATGTGAATCACATATATAGAGGTTCCACTCAGAGAATGCAAAAACAGAAAAAAGATAGTAAAGTGACTCCAAGGTAAAGGCCAACTTCCAAGCAACCATCTTCCTACCTTAGCATGAGCCCTTACAGGTTTCACTGGCCTTGCCTTCTGCCAGTGGTCATTGGTACAAAGTAGACAGGGGACAAATATTACATGGCGCCTTCAGGCAGCAGAAAGCATATAAATACCTTGAGGTATTATTACAAAATGTTAGAAATTTTTAACTAGAATATTTTACTGATTAACTGATAGTCATTCATACCTGACAGAACAAAATGAGATCACTCTATGGTTTTCCTTTGTAGTTATCTTTTACTAGCATCCCTGGTTTATTTATAAGGGAATTGTCTATGGCCATAATGAAGCATACATGTATCTTTTTATAAACTTATTAATGATGACAATTAATGCAGTATGTTTTAAATGACCCCCAAAGTACATCACAACATGGAAAATCCAAATTGACCAGAATCGGGATTCCTGGTATCTTACCTCTGGCGCTTTAGGAGCCGGTCTGCGCGTCACTTTCTCCTCCACCACTTTCTCCTTGATGAGCACACAGGCCACATTGAAGGAGCCAAGCAGGGCGTTGGGTTTGAATCCCAAAGAGTGACCTTCAGGTGAAAGCAGCTCCAAGGTGTGCAGAGATGGGTTCAGACGGTGGCGACCGCATAGGTCGACCAGTAGATCCATCAGAGCTTTACTGGGAGATGAGAAAAGAAAAAGGAGTGAAAGCGTGTGGGTATATCGGTGGGTGTGTGTGCGGACAGAATATTGGGTTACAAATCCTTCCTAGCTTCGGCTGCACAACAAAGACAGGATCCTCTCTGATACTTTAAAAGCAAGCATAATATACGTTCGTGTTTTTTAATCTGCAGTAACTTTTGCCTCTCTATTTGAAAATATATGATGTGAATGGAGTCCGTAGATAAAAACTGAAGAATATTATTCTAAAAAACAAGTCATTACAAAAACTTCAACCATTACATATTTTCTTTTCCTTTTAAACAATATTTAAATGCTTTAGTAGGACTTGTCAATAATTCAGATACCCCTTTTACTATTTAGTCAGCAAAGTTCATCTTTAACATATTCTAGCAACGGGAGTTTAACCAAGAGTAGACAACATTAAAAAAAGATCTGAATATGTCCTTTGCTTTGTGACTCAGTTGGAGAGAGCAGGTGATGATTAGGTCAATAGCACCGCTTGTCAATCTTCAGGTAAAGAAAGAAATGCTCTCCTGTGTTTTGCTGGGACAGCCAGATCAGATGACACATCTGAGACAGGAAACAGGACAAGAAACTTCAATGACGCTTCAGAAAAAAAATCTCTTTCTCTATAGAAAGTGTATTCCATAATTAAGGGTGTAATTAAATCTGGAGGCATGAGATGTCATGATATTAAAACGCTATGGTGCATCTCAGCACAGTAAAGTCTGCTTTGAGAAGCTCTGTCCAGAAACCCATTCTGTCTGCTCTTCATGTCTGGGGCTGCCACCTGCCTGAGATGGAGTGGTGTCACTAGCTAGCTGTGAACACTGTGCTCGTCTCTCCCTCTAAACTTGTCGGTGCAAGCTAGTGCACCAAGCTAGCCTGTCAGAGGTGAATCCGCTCATAGAGGTGGCCAACCCTCCACCACCGGAGCTCACAGTGTAGAAGAACTGACCGGGAGGAAAATGAGGCCGCACTTCCAGAACTTTCTGACCCTGCAGGTGCATAATCTGACTCAAAGGTGGACAACGAGCAGGATTGGGAGCCTTTTAATCCCGGTTCTATGAAATATGAGTGAGTGATGCAAGGTTCTTATGCTGGGAGGAAGTCCCCCTTACAATAGGAGACATCACTTCTGCTGGTGTAGGACTGGCATAATGTAATAGAGCTTCTGAAGATAGAGCTGGGTTTGTGTCCCCACAGTGAGATACCATGTTTCAGAGAGCTGAGATTAATTCCTTAACCTTATTACCCAAACATAAGTTTAACATTTTTTAGCTTAGCCAAACAGGGATTGGAAGGTTCTACTTTGACATAGGATTTTGATTTCATCATCGTCTTTACTTTATCAAAGCCACAAGTAGGTCCATATAAAAATGAAAAAGGAAATATGAGATAATAAAAGATAAGCAAATACCAAAAAACAAAAAGACCAAACTCAACAATGATTCCACGTGCATCGTCTGTCAAGTTATAGGGTGGTGCATTCTGTAGGATCTGCTAAGCTGCACATACATTTTTTTTTTTACAAAAGGTGATGGATAACAGGAATATGTCTATAAAGCTTTAGCTCTCTCCAGTTGTTTTTTTGAATTCCTATTTTCCTAAAGTTTGCCTTCTGAAATAAAAACATCTACAGTTACTCTAGGAATATATACTTAAGTATTTAAAGTTTTATAACACAGATTAAGCAGATGACATCATAGCTGGCAAGATACTATCAGTTAAAAAGTAAAGAGCAGAGCCAGAGTAATGTATTATGTAATGTTAAAGGTTTAGCTTGAGAATTAAGAAACTGGACCACAAAAATCAGAAACTTTATAGCGTTTCTTTGTCAAGAATAATTTTGCACATAAGGGGCTGGGATGCCCCTGGTTTTTATTGTGGTGTGTTGAATGTTATTTACCCTGTGCCGTGTTTAGCATCAGAAATTAAGGCAGAAGTTAAAAAAGTAAATTATGTAACAGATCTGATTTGACATCTTTACAGGGACATCAAACCATTTTAGGTATAAAAGAGATCAGCATCAGCTCGACTCAGCCAATAAACACACAAACCCTGTAGCCTTTTACCCTTTTACAATAGGCTGTCAGCAGTTCTCTATATCGTTGTAGACGTTATGCCAAAACACATCTCTAAAACAGCTTGAACATTTAATGCTCAATACTTATTAGACTTTTTGTTCACCAAAAAGTTTAAATCATTACACCTGTGCAATTTTGCTTTTACGTCATCTTCAAAGAAACATGATTGTGAAAATGTAACATTTACTTTAGGGAGGGTTTTTAGTGGTAAATGGCAACAGTAAACCAACTAAACATCAAAATAGTAACCATGCTGCTTCTGTTGAGGTTTAAGCTGGCCTTCTTTCAGCATAATAGCTGAATTAACCCCAAATCAACTTTGAATTTCCCACACAAATTTGAGGTTGTTCTAGATTTATTACAGATCCATATTAATGACAGATGTAAGCATAGCACATGTTATAATAAGCATCATCCAGAAGGAATTGATGAGCTTTCACTCCTTCTAAAGAACATTTGGAAAACAGTAGTGTTCTCAGATTAATCGACGGGCTGATTTATAGGCCTGATTTTAGTGTCTGGCTCATTAATAGACATCAGCCAAAACGTGGCTGATATTAACCTTTTATAGGGCAAGTTAGCATTTTTGATCACTTGCCTTACAAATGGAGTCCCCCCCATCCCTCAGTGAGGTCTAGATGCCCAAGATCTATATCCAGCCATTCAGCAAAAATAAAAGCTAACAATTCAAGAAAAAAAGGTAAAAAGCTAATTGAAAAGTTAAAAAGTAAAGTTAAAAAGTTAATACGCCAAGTTAACCATTATATTTAGGTTTATAAACTAAAAAATGTAAGTGCTGGTATCAGCATTAATGCCTCCAAGGTTATTTTGGACCAAAAAAATTTGTTTCTTTCACTCTGAGAGTGTTTTTCATGAATTTCTTATAACTTTTGTCATTTTTCTTAATATATTCAGGCAAGGTGTTTCTTGTTATTACATTGTCATTCATTTTATCCATATTTTTTAGGTAACACAGGTAATAGGTCTTGTCCTGGATTCCAATAACACTATTGGCTTGAAATTCTGATTTTCAAAGTGTTTCACTGAGTGCCCTATAAAGGGTTAAAATTATATTTTTGTTGCAAACAGCTGAAAGAAATTTCGGCCGCATTCAACACTTCAGCACCAGTAAGGCAAAGAACACCAAAGTTTTGAGGCAATATCTAAATCAGATCCACAAAAATGGATTGTATTTACAGTCTTATTTTGACATTGCTCAAGTTAAAGTAGCTCATTTTAATTCTTTGGTTTTATTTTGAGGGCACGTCCCACCGGAAAGAGGCCCAGTCGGAGACCCAGGACAAGCTGGAGGGCCTATGTTTCTTGGCTGGCCTGGGAGCGCCTTGGGATTCTCCCGGAGGAGCTGGCCCAAGTGGCTGGGCAGAGGGATGCCTGGGCCTCCCTACTGAAGCTGCTACCCCCGCGACCCGACCCCGGATAAGCGGAAGAAGATGGATGGATGGATGGATGGATGGATGGACGGACGGACGGACGGACGGATGAGTTCTATTTTCTGTTTCTTTGTCTTGAATCATATTTTTGGTTATTATGAGAATTTAAGCTGGACTTCAGTTGGAAGTATATCCATTTTCAGTTTATTTTTTCATATTCTGTCTGATGTATATCAGATAGCAGCCATTATATATCAGATATTGTTTTTTTAAGCTCCTAATATCAATATCAGTCTTCAAAATCCCATATCGGTCGGGCTCTAGTTCTCAGTGCTATTGAGAAAGCAGAAGGCACTTGTAAAACCTACTCTTCTTTAGAAAAAATTAAATTTTCTATGACATCCACAGATCAGGACATAAGATGCAGTAGATGCCTAAAGAGTTAAAAAAATAAAGTGAAATTATTTACAAATGAATTGTGCCAAGACATGAGGCAAGGGGGGATATTTGCTCATCATGAGGAGGGTTTCTCAATGGACAAAGGCCATCTGAGTGTAAGTTCATAAAGGAAGATTTCTGAAACCCCATCCATCCATTTTCAGGCAGACTTAATTCCAAGTGGGGTCGCAATGGTTGCTGGTGCCTATCTCCAGCTGTCTATGGGCGAGAGGCGGGGTACACCCTGGACAGGTCGCCAGTCCATCACAGGGCAACACAGAGACAAACAGGACAGACAACCATTCATGCACTCACTCACACCTGAGGAGAATTTAGAGAATCTAATTAACCTAACAGTCATGTTTCTGGACTGTGGGAGGAAGCCGGAGTACCCAGAGAGAACCCATGCATGCTCAGGAAGAACATGCAAACTCCATGCAGAAAGACCCTGGGCCGGGAATCGAAACCAGAAACTTCTTGCTTCAAGGCATTTTCAAAAATGTAAATCCTTTTATTGTCCCACAACGGGGAAATTAACTCTCTGCATTTAATCCATCCCCTTGGGGATGCGGTGGGCTGCCATTATGTGGGGCCCGTGGAGCAGTGTGGGGTTTTGCTCAGGAACCCAGAGTGGATGCCGTGGGGATTGAACCAGGTACTTGCAACCTTCACAAAGCACAAGCACACTGCTCTAAACACTAGACCAACACTACCCCTGCTCATCTGTAATCCTCTGACCTTTTAATTAGCTGAGAGATATCATCTCAAAAATGAACATAAAAATATTACTAAATTGTAGCATGTCACTTATATGTAATCAGTTAGGTAGGTAGAGGAGTAGGTAGGTACCTTTTTTACTTGTAAGAAGTGTAGTTTAGCTAATAAATGTCTGATGTTTTTTTTTTTTTCATATTTTATCAAAGACGTCCCCAATTTTCAGGCTCAGCAGAGAGAACCTCATTAGGCAGTGCATTAGCAGGTCAGCTGACCGCCCTCCAGGGCAAAGACCTGCAAACAGACTGGCATGCGTCCCATTCACCATACTCCATAAAAACAGAAGGCTATTATATTATCGTGTGGAAGTTTAGCTCACAGGATTTATCTATAGGATGCTAAGAATTCACCATTTATCAGTTTAAATATTATAACACTAGTATTTGTACAACTTGTATCAGCAGTCACAGCCAAGCATTTCCCAAACAAAAGCAGGAGAAAGGCAATGTAACTGAACAAATACCACTGGATTCAGGGAGATTAAATGTGTGTGAGTGAGTGAACTCTCACTGGACTCACCTTCCATCCTCGGTTTCAGAAACCTGGTACCCCCCCGGTAGAGTTAGCTGAAAATCTACAGTGGGCCTTAGAATGTTCTCCTTGACATCCATGGCTGACATCCCTCCCCCATCAGGTACAGGGTTCCTGAACAAATGACGGGGAGCGGGTTGGGGGGCCTGTGGTGGAGATGGGGCAGGAACTTTCATTCTCCTCCTGCATGATGACAAATCAAAGATACATTAAATATTAGATAATTAGATTTTTTACTGTTAAACCTGTTTTTTAGAAGTTGAGTATTCATTAAATTATTTGCTTTTATTTCATGTAAGGCAGTTTTGTTTCTCCTGGGTTTAGTCCTGGTTACATAACAACCCAGTCTTGTGAATGGATTCCACTGTTACCGCCTCAGGAGCAGCCTGAATACCAATGACATTTCTTTCCTCTGTATTTCTCTCTTTGGTGCAACACTGGCCTGCATTAATATTACAGCATAATAAGGGAATCATTTGTTTGGTTATCAGTGTTGTATAATCTTAAAATAGCTGCTTCTCCCACATGACACTAAAGTGACTCAACAATAAAAATCTTATAAATCTTTTCTGCAGGTTCTCCCTCCCTACCACTCCTCCAGCATATCTATGGACTTCACAGGTGACAATTAGGCTATGTTCCCAGTACAGGCCTTAATGCCTTCGGTTTAAACTGTTTGCACCTCTAAGCTGATACACATGAGAACAATAAGAATTGCAGCACAACATTAAACCAGAAGATATAAGTATCATGCTTTAGGTGCACAGCAGAAGACATTAATTGTGTCAGCGGTTCCCTTGTGGGACCCTCCATGAATAAAAGAGTGAAATTCGTTATTGTGGCTTTTTGGGGGAGATCTGTCTGACATTCAGCACAGCAGGCTGTTTGGATGTGGGGAACCATGTAGAAATATTAAAAACTTAACAGAAACCAAATTGATTCAGAACGTTTTTCGTGTAGAGGTCCAATTTAATCAGGTATGGAATTGCAGAAGAATTTTTGCAATCCAGTGCACTGGACTGCAGCAGACTCAGTCAGATCATCACAAGCTTGCTAACCATGATAGCATTCAAAAGCTTTCTGCTGGAGTGTGGTATAGAGATTTTACGACATGAAGTATACCCCACATCCAGATGGCTCCTACGAGTCTTTCAATTATGCTTGAATAAAGTTTGTCTGTTTATTAATGAGCCCTAACGTCTGGCTGTCCATCCATTGTTTAGTACAATCCCAGCTCCTGTCTGTTGTAAACTGATGCGATTTCCTGCTGCGTAAAGTTGTGATGAATGAAATGGAAAGTGACGTCACATCTGCTCTGCCTTGGTGGCTCCCACTGGAAGGTTAAGATACAAATCAGATTCAGGACCACATATAAATGTGGTTCAAATGTGACTTGGAAAAAGTCCACTAAATTCAAGATCTGAGCTTGCTTCCCACTTGCTTTAAACAGCCTGACCCGATCACTTGACCCTAAAAAAATCTGATACGGGGGCATATCTCTTTGCTGTGGGAACAGGGCCACACTTCCTTCCGATCGTATTTAAAAAAGCCTCTTTAAAATCATATTGCAGATCCTGTTTTTGGAACGAACAAAAGATTTAAAACAAAAATACATAACAGTAAATTAACCTAGTCACACATATAGCTTTAGTAGGCAGAAAGCAAGCCTGGACTGGTCACCGGTATAGAGATATACAAAGGGTTGGAAAGTTTATCCTTTCACTGCTGTAATTTTCCACCATTAATTTCAATGAGGCAAAATAAAGAACATTCAGGAATCACTTTTAGCATCAAAAAACCTACTAGCCTTAGATCTTTCATATATCTGTTGAAGAAATGTCTCAATCAGATCAAATATGTCAACACTGAAACTTGTACAGCTTATAACACTCAGCACATTTGAAGCAGCTTTTAGTTTCCTTTCTTCACTGTTTTAAATATGTTTCTCTGTAATAGTAGTTTTACAGATATGTGTCTTGATTGCGTAAAAGTCTCATTTTACTTTTAGTGTATTATTAGCCAACAGACTCTCCTACCAGCCAACACCTACTGAAGTTCAAAGATCATATGGCTTTGTTAAAATCAACTAAAAATACATTCCAGCAGCAAATAAAAAAATATCTAAGGCAAAATGTCAGACTATATGTAGCAACTATAATTATAGTTATATGAAAATATTACTATGTATAAAAAACTACCTTGTGAGACATGTTATCAACATTGAGTATTGATACCACAATCACCAACACAAAAAAAACAGCAGATCAAACATAAATCAGACTCTTCTAAATGACATGTTTCTATGGTATATGAAAATAAAAAGTACCTCTTTTCCATCTGAGATAATCCTTGAGGTATAATATCCACAGACTGATATTCTGGATAAATCTGGACTGTCACAAGTCCTCAGATTTAGTACACTCCTTAAAATCTGTTTGCTTGTCTTTCATGGTCCAACCCAGGGCTGTAAAATTCAATGAAGTCTGTTGTTGTTCTGCCCTGTGCAAAGCTAATTGTATAATAGAAAAATAAGAATGCGCACGAGCATAACAGGGAGCGGACTCTAACCTGGCTAAAGTTAAAAATTAACAGGCTAACTCTGACCTATTGGACAGAGTGTTATTAACCCATGCAAAGCAGAGAGCGGCTGTGACATGAGAATGACAGCCTACACTTAGAGTTATGACATCATTTATTATAACCCACTTACAAGCCAAATTATAGTGTGGATCTTTTTTTAATATATTATAACATACAAAGACTTTAAATAGTCAAATACTTTAAACATATGGGTTACCCAACAGAAACATGGTATGATGTTGTTTTTATAGTTATTCTTTTTAATGTTTAGGGAACTGTAAAGGCAGTAGGATTTGAAACCTTCCCGGTGGGTCCTGATCTTTTAGGTAAACAGAACCAGGCTCTGTGGACCTGTGAGACTGGGCCTCAGCCAGACTCAGCACAGTGGGCTAGTATCCTCTACTCCCTCTCTTCCTAGGAACATTTCACTCTCTCTCTCTCTTTTCTTGAACATAGACAAAGAGGCCTTTAGGAACAGTCTTGTCTCCCACAGAGCAGGAATCACCTTAAGCAGTGAGAAAGATGAGGAGAGCAAGCGAAAGGTAAAGAAGGAAACTGCTCTGCAGCAAGGAGGCAGTAAGTGCTGTGATATTGCAAGGACTTGGTTACAAATTAGTTTTCAGCCATTTTCATCCCTTTCTATGCCCTAACCCTGACATTAATCCTAAACCTAACCATTACAAGTGCATACCCTTACACTAACCTTAATCTAACTTAACCTAAAATAGATACAGGGACCAGCAAAAATATCCTCTTTGGTATAAATGTCCTTAATCAGAAGAGGAAATAGGAAAAATAGAAGCACACACATACACAGTGAGTTGTGTTTTGCTATCCTTATGGGGAGTTAAGGCTGATTTAAGCTCAGAAACCAGGTCGTCTGCGTGTGTGTCGCAGTCAAATGTGACCCCGCCCTTTCTGCAGACACTCTGGTGCACCTCTCCAAAAATGTAGTTGAACGCAGACAGTGCAGCAGACAGGAGGCATCTGATTGGTTGAATCTACATCTGCTGTACCCTATGCGTATTTCCTGTTTGGTACCTTACTGGCTTGCTTTGTTTGTATGCCCGCCATTGTGGAAACCGACTCATGAAGTTGGACCAGCTCAAAGAGCAAGGTGCGCGAAAGCGCTGGGACCCTTTTTTCACCTGGATCCCCGCTCTCTTTCACCTGTCTCTTTCTGTAAGTCCCCTCAATGTATTATATTCCTTGGAAATTATCCCTACACTGTCCCAAAGTATGTTCACACAGGCTGCTAATGGACCTTTCAAAACCAAGATGTTCTTTTTACCTGACTAAACAGCATTGATAAGATACATTTCTACCTCAAGTTCATAAATAAAACATCTTTATTCTAACAAGATTATGTTTGTTAGGATTTAAGAAGATTTGGTTTTCGTATACTGGATTAATTTTCACCTGTTTAAACATTCATTTATTATAGACACAGACACAGGCACAACTTAGGGTACTTTGAACTTGATATTGACCAATATTTTTTACTCCAATGCAAATTATTTTGACATTAGTCTATAGATATGTGCTTCCCATTTTCTGGGGACAATCTTTAAGCCAATATTAACCCCTCTTCCCCCATTTATATGATAAACATCACAGACTGACATTAATTACTTGTTCACCTTGTGATGCCTGTGCCTCTGATTACTGTCTTTGTGGTAAAACTTGATATAAAGTATATCCACAATATAGTGTGGATTCAGGCAATGTTAAAAAAAAAAATCCTCAAAACTTCAAAAATAAGTTTTTAGCGACAGAGGGTAGGCAACTCAAACGATGATGTTGAGCCCAGAATGTAAGGTATGCACGTTTTAACTGTGAGGGACAATTTACGAGGGGCTAAATATAACAAACCTTATCAGCTGCTACAAAATGGCGGGTTAGGAACACATATAAAAGTCCCTCATTAGTCGGTGTATATTTTTTGTCATTTTCCTTTAAGAAACTGATAACTATTTGATTTCTTTGTTTTGAAATAGGAAAATGTAAATACAGAAACCACAAGAGGAACAAGATGTTATGCAAGAAAAGATTTTCAAATCGTGTGTCTCAGGAGATATGACTTAGTCCCAAAACTGTCAGGTTGCTGGTTTAACCACCGGCTTTAACCGATCTAAGGTTGGGTGTTTTGGGCCAGACATATTCCTACTTTGCCTTCTTTTGGTGGTCAGATGGCGCTGTGGTACGGACTTCATGGTGGCCTTGCTTCTGTCAATGTTCTACAGGGCTGCTGTGGCTCCATTGTAGCGTGCTCTATATCAGCATGTGAATCTGTGAAGTAGGTAAAGCACTGTCCATTTTATCCCTTTTCATTATAAAATCTCTACACATTTCTTGCTACTTCACCTACTTGATTTCTGTGGATGTCAAAAAGCAAAGCTAAGTAAGGTTCAAAAGAAAATGTATTCTAAGCAAAAGCCTTATGTTACCCTGCCAAATTGTGTGCTCTTTTAAAATAAATGACAAAATCAGGTGTAAGAAAAAGGTGTTAAAAATTGTTTTAAAGCAATTTCATATTTCAAATTGCTTTTAAACAAGAACAAAAAAGGACCTGTTTTAAAGCCATTTAATATTTTGTTACCGGA